CTGGGGCTCAGTGTGATCCCCAAGAATGTTGTCACAAGAACGAGCTGTAAGGAGCAGCCGCATCCTCAGATCACAGCCCAGAGATGATCAGGAAGCCAGAGTACCCAGAAATGGAGAGAGAATGGATCAGGATCCCCAAACGATATAAGCAGTATAATAGGTAAGGACCTATTCTGTTCATTCACAGGACCCATTGGTACCAGGACACACACAGTAAACCCCTGGTGAGTTGTGTCTCAGACAAGCCAGCATGCCTGTCTCAGTCTGACCTGCATGAACTCATTCTCCAGGGCATTCCCCGGGAATGTCTGCTCAATTTGAGAAAATCGTATCATGTGTTCATGTCAAGGACAGGCTTTGGGAGCTGAATTTAAGAGAATGGGACAGATTTTATAGATAAAGTTCCCTAGAGTGTGTCTCAGACTCCAGCTTACACCAAGCAAACAAAGAAACCAGCTGACAGCAAGGAGTAGGGGCTGCAGAGGAAACCCCATTGAAGTGGGGACATCAGGTTTGTGTCTCACTTCCCCATGGGCCTTGAGCATTGTGTGAACACCAAGGCTTTCATCATAGGATTGGCAATAATAATCAGCCTCATCCTCAGCCTGGAGCCCAGTGATGGTCAGGGTGCCTGAGTTGCCAGACTTGGAGCCAGAGAATCGATCGGGAACCCCAGAACCTCTGTTATCATCATAGATGAGGAGACTGGGTGCCTTTCCTGGGAGCTGTTGGTACCAGTTCACCTCAGTAATGATTCCCAATTCTTCTAAATTTATGTTGCTGGGGATTCCAGTGCAGGAGATGGTGACCCTTTGCCCCAGGGTCCCAGACACTGAGGGAGGCTGAGTCAGCACAGACTGGGCCCAGGACCCTACAAGGCAGAGAGACACAGAAAGGGTGATGCTGGCATCTAGACACAAGAGGAAGAAGCAGGATCCAAGGTTCCCTCAAAGGGCCCCTTCCCCTGTCCCCACATCCAGTCACCTGTGCAGTGAGCGAGGAGGGTGAGGAGGAGAGGGGACCAGCCCATGGCGGAGGTCATCACTGATCCTGCCTTCTGTGGTCCCACAGCTGAGCAGAGCCTCCCCTCATCTCTCCCTTCCCCTCTTCATCCTCTGAGAGAGGGAGGGCCCATCCATGCAAATGAGACCCCAGCTCTCTGAACCCTCCCTGGCCCTGGGTCAGGTTTCTCTACCAGAGTATGTTGGGGATGGGCAGGGAGGGGCTATGTGGGGCGAGGACATGGGGAGATCCCTGCTATGAGCCCTGAGCAGAGGATACAGGAAGTACCAGGTGATAGGTCCCAGCTCTGATCACTCCTGACCCCTCAGAAATGGGCCTCAGTGCCCCCTGGTGTTCAGACTCAGACATACACAATTGTGTGATAAGGGTTTTCAGAGCCCATCAGACACAGCTCCTACCTCCCCACTGCTCTATCCACTGACCCCTGACTTAGGGCCAGACAAGCTTATCCTCTTTTAGGCCTCCTATAAAGTAAAGCCAGACGTTATTCCCTACTCAGACTCCTCATGGAGAGTCTTCCCATGGTTCCGTGTAGACTAAGACATATTTGAAACTTCAGTTTCAAATTTAGACAACTGACTATTTTTAAAGTGTCTTAAATTAGGGTACCTGGAAGGTCAATAAAAGCAGAAATGAACTATTAGGACTTCATCAAGATAAAAAGCTTATGCACAGCAAAAAAAAAAAAATAAAAAGTCAACCAAACTAAAAGAAACCTACAAAATGGGAGAAGATATTTGCAAATGACATACCACTTAAAGAACTATTATCCAATATCTACAAAGAAGTTATCAAACTCAACACCCAAGAAACAAACAATCCGGTCATGAAATGGGCAGAAGATATGATCAGACATTTCTCCAAAGACCTACACATGGCCAAAAAGCACATGAAAAAATATTCCACATCATTTCTCATCAGGGAAATACAGATCAAAACCACACTTTATACCACTGAGAATGGATACAATTAACAAGAGAAGAAACTAATGTTGGAGAGGATGTGGAGAAAGGGGAATACACTTGCCCTTTTGGTGGGAATGTGAACTGGTGCAGCCACTCTGGATAACAATGTGATGGTTCCTCAAGGAGTTAAACATAGAGCTACCCTATGATCCATGAATTAAACTACTAGGGATTTACCCCAGAGATACAGATGTAGTGAAATGATGGGACACCTGCACCCCAATGTTTATAACAGCAATATCCACAAGAGCCACACTGCGGAAGGAGCCACCGTGACTTTGACAGATGAATGGATAAAGAAGATGTGGGAGAGATATCTATATATAGTGGAATTTTACTCAGCCATCAGAAAGGATGAATACCTACAATTTACTTCAATGTGGATTGAACTGTAAACTATTATTCGGAGTGAAATAAGTCAGTCAGAGAAAGACAATCATATGGTTTCACTCATATGTGGAATATAAGAAATAATGAAAGGGACTACAAAGGAAAGGAGGAAACTGAATGTGGTAAAAGTAGAGAGGAAGACAAAGCATGAGAGACTCCAGAAATATCTCAGGAGAGCCTTGTGTGCCTGAGACCCTTGTGGCTGGATCCTGTGAAGAAAGGGAGGGGGACAAGGAGAGGTCACCCTGGGCACTCTGGGACCCATGCAGAGAAGATCTGTTACCAATTGTGGCTTGATTCATGCTTCCAAGTCCTGTGGATCCAGGAGCTGAGACCCAGAGCTCCCACCCTTCAGCTCCCTCCCTCCCCTTCCTCTCCTCAGGCCTGGAGGCCAGCAGTGGCAGCCAAGTTCAGCCCGGTGGTCCTGGGGCACTGAAGAAGGGGCTGCATAGTGTCATGGGAAAGGAGGACATGGGGTACCTGGAGAATACCTTCAGGTCAGGAATGTAACCTCAGGGACAGGATCTGGGAGGATCCTGGGAAGGTGCATGATGTTTGTGTGAGTGATTGATTAGGGCCATTTTCCTTCCTTCCTTCCTTCCTTCCTTCCTTCCTTCCTTCCTTCCTTCCTTCCTTCTTTCCCTCCTCTTCCTGCAAAAACTGGGCAATGTGTGTCCTCTTGCATATCTCCCTATTTTTAAAGATAATGTCATTCTCCACATTCCTGTCTAGATCTCTGAGCCCAAATGTGTAGTAGCTTGGCAATGATTAGTTCTTTCCTTAAGTCCAAGCTTTAATTTCCCTTCGATTAAAAAACAACATGACAAGGGAGCCTTTGAACCAACTTGCAGTTTGGAAACTTTGTTTCTCTTCTCTCATAAGCCCATGAGCACTTGGACTAGCAGATAGAAGGACTATTCCTGTCATTATTCTATTTTCATTTCATCTCAAGATGTGCACACAGAACACGTAAAGAACTCTGAAATTCAACAAGGAGAACATAAACAATCCCCTACCTTTTTTTTTAAACTGAGCACAGTACATCGAGGAAAATATACTGATTGCAAAGAAGTGCTTGAAAAGATTTTACATTAGAAAAGGAACCGTTCCTACGTATGTATTAGAACAGAAAAAAGAAACATGATGCCTGCCTGCTAATTTCACATGAGGATAACGACATAGAACATAAATGCTTAAAACATTTGTCCACTGGAAATCCATGAAGACATGAAATGTTTTAAATGAAATAGGAACTAAATGTTGAAATAACAAAGGTTGAATTGGAACACACAGGAAGTTAGATTCTTTTGGACAATCCACCAAATGCTGGCTATGGATCGGGTGTCCTGAATTCCCTCTATCATTATTGAAGGAAGTACACTTAGATGAGAATTTGGCAATATACAAAACACATCCCGGTGAAATAATCATGACAGCACCTTCTCTCATTGGTGAACTGAATTGGGACCTTTCAAAAGGAGCCCTATCTCCAGGCATATTTAATATTGCAACTGAATTAAAATGAAACGGTTCTCTTTCTCACATGCAAAGGCTCTGCTCTACTTTAATTTAAAATGAAAAATAAAACCTCATAAGAGGCAGGAAACTTAATTTGTGACAGAGTGGGGTGAAGTACAGTAAAAAAAAAGGAATTCTAATTTTATAGGACATATGTAACTACCCATTGGAGAGGCCCTGGGTATTCTGAGGCTCAGAAGGATGGTGTGTTGGACTCTAAAATGTGGAGGAAAAAACAAACACAAAGAAAGAACCACCACAACACAAAGTGTGAGGTCCCTGAGCTGAGCTCCCAGGGCTTCTCACTTGTTGGACGCAGAGGCAGCATTTTATGTTAACAGCAGAACCTCCGGGCAGTATAGTTTCTGAACCCTGGGCTCACTTCCAGTTTTCAGTGGGGGACACGCTGGTTATTGGAGACTCGTCATAAAGTTCATTTATTTAATTAGCTTTCTCATTTGGAGGCAAAAAGCAGTCCCTGGGATCAGGGACTGCAAGTGACACTCTGTTGAAAATATGCATCTATAGGGGCTGACTCTGTCAGTAGAGGGTGAGATTCTGGATCTTTGGCTTGTAGGTTTGAGCCCCACCTGGGTGTAGAGATTACTGAAAAATTAAATCTTAAAGAAAAAATATACATATATATGTAATGTTTCCTAACACCTAGTATGATGGTGTGTGATGTCATGTGGATGGATTTCATCTTCTGTTCTACACATTATACAAGGGAAAATATATGTGATGTTAATATTTATTAGTATTAATATACATTTTGCTTAACATTTTAAAGGTTCCATGGGTATTGTGTGTAACAAAGAAAGAACTATGGGGGGGGCACCATTTCGTATCAGATCGCTCTACTGCTGTCACCAGTAAAGGGATTAGCATCCTCAGTACATGTGTCCCAGCTTGGAACCTATGGCCCCAGGTCTGTGTCCCACCCCCTCATCTGCCTCTGTCACTGTGCTTAGCATCAGTGTCATACACCTGACTGTAAGCTACATAGAAGCTTCTAGATGACGAGGATCAGAGACAAGTGCCCAGGGGTTTTTGTCTCACTGCCTCATTATCTGAGACACTGTGGGTAAGAGTAGCTGCTCTCACTGCCATGATCTGTAGCACAGTAGTAGTCAGCCTCATCCTCAGGCTGCAGCCCAGAGATGAGCAGGAGCCCTGCATTGGCTGAGGTATCCTTGGATCCAGAGAAGCTGCTGGAGACCCCGGAGCCCTGGTGTTTATATGAGTCCGGGTAGTAGTACAGGAGATCCCAGGGAGGGCTCCCTGGCTTCTGCTGGTACCAGTACATGTCATAGTCACCATCACTGAAGCCACTGCTCAGGGTGCAGGTGAGTCTGGCTGTTGATCCCAGAGATGCAGAGAGGGAGGGCGGCTGGGTCAGCACAGGCTGGGACAGTGAACCTGCAGACACACACACGTCACAATGACGACAAGAGACAGGATGCATGTGGTTGAGGAGCTGAGCCACAGGGATCCGACTCAGGCTGGGGTCCCCCCCTCTTTCACTGGGGCCTGTCCCTACCTGTACAGTGACAGAGGAACACAAGGAGGACAGGCGTCCAGGCCATAGTGATGCAACGCCTTCTTAGGCCACAGAGCTGGGACTGGGATGCCCCTGACCTGTCTTATCCCCTGTCCCAGGGCCTCACAGAGGAGGGGCTGCTCATGCAAATGTGACCACCCCTGCCTCTCCCTCCTGTGCACTTACAGGTCTGTGTCCCTTTGACAGGGAGGATTCCTCATGCAATAGCTTCCCCCTGGTGGGCCTGAAGGAAGCAGCTTCTGGGACCCACACACAGGCCCAGATCTGGACTCCCAGGTCCAGAGAGGACACAGCTGCCCATTACCCACTGAGATCAAAGGGCCCAGGACCTAGGCCTCCCATCAGTGGAGGGCTGCCATACCTAGAGCCCCTGTCCTGCGGAAACTCTGAGACTCCATCTCACTTCGCCCCCTGCTGGTCTTGAGACAAATCGCTCCTCCTTTCCCACCTCAGGCAAGCCTCTCTTCCCCTGTTTCTCTGACCCCTGTTCTCCCACCATGTGAGAGTGATGCTCCAGGGATGGATAGATGTCCTGGGGTGTCGTCTCTGATCAGGATTCTTCTGTGTATTTGGATCTAGCGGGAGGAACCTGTGAAATGCTGAGGCAGGAAAGCCTGGGAACCGCTGTAGGTCTGAGGACAAAACTTAGGGGACAGAGAACAGAGGGGATCTGTCTCCACAGGGGGAGCCCAAGGGAGACGGGCTGGCTCTGAGTGATGAGTGTGAGCAGGAGCTTGTGGAATGGACACACATCTTCATAGAGGAGGACACAGAGGGTGGGAATGCTGGGCCCTTCCTGAGCAGGACTCACAGGACACAGCAAAGGCTAATGATTTTTCTGGAGGTTTAGACAGAACAGGCATCCAGCAGGGACCAGTGTAGGGTCATCCTGTGACCTCTCTTCATTTTACTGTGAGAGTTTTCATCCCAGCTGTGCCTGTCGTCACTGCTGCTCATTACAGAATTAGCTCCAGGGGATGTCCTAGGACAGAACTAGGGATGGGAGACCTAGAAGTTACATTAGGGCATGGCAGGAGGAATATGACAGCATAGGAAACTGGGAAGGGTGAAGGGCTTGTGTCTCAAAGTGGGACAGTGAGAGGTGACCCACTGGACCCCAGCTGTGGGAGGCACAGGGATGTTCCAGAATTTCAGGTGATTTTTTTCAACTCCCACAGTGTCAGGGTTGCCTGGAGTGACACAACTGAGGTCCAGAGGGGAGAACAGATTGAAGGCTGGTGATGGTCCTCTCATCATGTGTCACAGTGTCTATAGTGTGACGTGGAGAGGCATGGAAACACTAACAGACAACCAGGGCTGTAAGGGTGCCTGCCCTCCCCCAAAGGATGGATGTGTGTGTTCCCTTGATCACCTACCTAAGCACTTAGTCTGCATCATCCGTCCATTCATTCATTCATTCATTCATTCATTTTTTCCTTTAAACATACATTTAAGGAATGTCCAGTTATGTCAAATCTCTCTTCATCATGAGGTGAAATAAAACACGATTTTTTTTATTTTTTATTTATGATAGTCACACACACAGAGAGAGAGAGAGGCAGAGACACAGGCAGAGGGAGAAGCAGGCTCCATGCACTGGGAGCCCGATGTGGGATTCAATCCCGGGTCTCCAGGATCGCGCCCCGGGCCAAAGGCAGGCGCCAAACCGCTGCGCCACCCAGGGATCCCCAAAACACGATTTTTATACATTTCAGAATTGCTCGTACTTGTCTGTTTCATGTATGTGCATGGTTGCTGTTTGCTTTTCTCAAAGTCTGTGTGTGAGATCCCAACATATCACACATAGGTTCCTAATCAATCACTTTGTCTATTTATCGTAAGGTTCTTTGATACACTGTAAAAAAGTTTGCAGTTTTACATATATCAAAGTTGAAGGTAAGAAGGACCTAACGTGTTAGAAGAAAAGGAAGAATCATAAAGAGTAATTGAAAAATATCTCAAAAACACAACGTCAGGTTCTACAAGTCAACATAAAACATAGAAACAAGTGATTGATGTCATATTACTTAGAAATAGCAACTAAAATTATGACAATCTGAGAACTAATGAAATATATTTCATCGTGAATAAACTGGGAAGTCACAGCAATCAGTGAGGATCCTTCACCTTGAAGGGAGCCTTGAGCCACCCTTAGAACCTGTCTCAGGCATCCCCAAGGCTTCCCAGGTTAGAGGAATCCTTTCCTACTGAGGAGGTCTAGAGCCAGTGGTCAGCAAAAGGATTGGAAAACTGGATGTGGGAAGAGAACCCAGGGCCCAGGAGCCCCTCCCAAAGTTGGAAGATGCAGACAGAAACCCTGTCTCTAAGGTGATGCAGGCTGTCCCCGGGGAGAGCTGTCTTTGGCTGTACTGCTCATCTCTGAAGGCCCACGCCAATGCACTCTATTCATTGTGGTCTATGGTATCCAGGAATCCCATCAGTGGATCCAAGTGTGAGCAGAAAAAGATAGGGGTGCCCAGGAGAAAAAATAGGATAGAGCTTTCATGACAAAAGAGAGGTCATTTTAACCCCAACTCTTTTCTGGGATCTCAGTGCAAGTAGCTCTACTTTCCCCAAACTTGTCTTGCAGGTCTTCCCAGAACATGTCAGAATTAAAAAGAAATGCAAAACAAACAAACAAAAAAACAGAACTCATGACAGTAGTTAAGAATTTTAAGGAGATAAAGGGTATGAAAAATATGACAGTCTCTTCCAGGACAAGACAGAGCCTAACCACATTAGAGACCACAAATCAGTGGTGAAACACCCAGTGCTGATTCAAAGGAAACTAAGCCCTGCACTCCTTATCCTAAATTAGGACTAAAATCCTTCCCAGTTTACACTGGCTCTGAGAGCAGGTCCCAGCCTGTTCCCCCTGTAGGACAGGTACCTCTGCTTCATTCCTGAACAAATGCAACTATTTATCTTTTATCCATATTTGATTCCTCCAAAACTCAGAAAATGCCATTATTCTTATACTTTTATGGCAATATATTTATTAACATAAGTTTGATAAGATTCCATTTTCCTTATAACAAGATATAATTGGAAACATTGGCTATATTACCAAGATGTTGACGAGAATGTCATATTTGAAAGAGATGTGCGTATGTACATATATATCTATACATACATAATCAGGTATGACCAGACAGATCTAAGGAACTAACATTGACTTTGTGGATCCAATAAAGCCTTTTGGAAATATGAGTCAGGCACATTCTTACAGTTTCCAACCTCTTTACTCGGTGAATCAAGAATGTCATGTCCTAGCAGGTGCAGGAATCTTGGATTTTTAGATACCTCAAGAACAATTTACTCCACTGGGTGTTATTCTGTATGTTGGCAAATTGAACACCAATAAAAACTAAATTCATTATTTAAAAAAAGAACAATTTACTCAACTCTATAGGTGTTGTAGTTTAGGTCTGATGCCAAGTATGTGACACAAGTTTTCACTTGGCTCCTATCCTGGAGGAGCTGTTAAAAATTTACCCAAAGGAATCTTATAAAAGGCCCTGCCGAGCACGTTTTAAGAGCCTGTATGATTAAGTGTCATGATTCCTGCAAATATGTGAATAATCAGAAAATTTTTGAAACTACACATATTTGGTAAATCAATTAATGTAAAAATTTTTGAAACTACACATATTTGGTAAATCAATTAATGTTTAATTAGTAGAAACAAATGTGATTGTTGAGAAAAAATATGTTTCAATGACACTTTCAAGTAAATATTTGTATCCAATTCTGTTCATTAAAACCTCGACTGGATCATGTTTTTCTCTAGCTTCTTAAAAACCCTGACTATAGGGGTCGGGGTAAGATGGCGAAAAAGTAGGGTCCCAAATCACCTGTCCCCACCAACCTACCTAGATAACTTTCAAATCATCTTGAAAACCTGCAAATTTGTTTTTTTAATGAATTAATTTTTATTGGTGTTCAATTTACCAACATACAGAATAACACCCAGTGCTCATCCCGTCAAGTGTCCCCCTCAGTGCCCGTCACCCATTCACCCCCACCCCCCGCCCTCCTCCCCCTCCACCACCCCTAGTTCGTTTCCCAGAGTTAGGAGTCTTTATGTTCTGTCTCCCTTTCTGATATTTCCCACACATTTCTTCTCCCTTCCCTTATATTCCCGTTCACTATTATTCATATTCCCCAAATGAATGAGAAAACCTGCAAATTTGGAATGAGATTTAAAGTGAAAACAGCTGGAATGCTTCAATGAGAACAGTTCACACTTCTATCAAGGTAGGAAGATGGGAAAAAAATAAACGAAAAAGCATCCAAGGGGGAGGAGCCCCCGTGAGGACCCTGGCTAAAGCCGGGTGGTGAGTGCCTTCAGGACAGGAAAGCCCAGTCCCAAAGAAGCAGGAACTGATGGAAAGATGCTTGCAGGGAACTTGGGCAGGACCCCAAGAGGGGCAGTGGAGCCCCAGGTTCCTGGGGTCACTAACGGCGGAGGTGCACCCCAGGGGAGAGCGCAACCTGCCCCACTGGCTGAGCTCCCTAAGGACCTGGAGCACACACCTGGCGGGACCCAGGGAGCAGCTCAAGTAGCAGCTCAGGTTGTGGCTCTGCACAGAGGGGGCTGCACAACCCAGGAGTGTGATTCCAGTGGGTCAGGCTCCGGAGCCCAAGGCACCAGGGGACACAGCCCAGGATCCAGGGCTCCCCTTGGGACAGGTGGAGGCCGGGAGGACACAGGACAGCAAGGATGCTCCTGCTGCCAGGTGGCCCCGAGCTGTGCAGATCAGCGACACCTGCCCCCAGAGCATCCAGGCTCCTGCAGACTGGGAGCTGCGGTAGTTACTGTGGAAGCTGACTCCAGGGATGGAGAGCTGGCCGCCGCCACTGTTGTTTCTCCTTGTGTCACCTTGTGCCTGGGAATGAGCGGGTCCACCAGGAAGCAGGGGCCTCACAGGATAAACAGCTTCCACAGAACCCTGCATCTGACAGGGGGGCATCTCCCAGGTGCACACTCCTGAGAATCAGCACAGCAGGCCCCTCCCCCAGAAG